CTATCGAAAAAAGTTGTAGGGAAATATATGGAAATGGAAATATAACTTATTAATATAGACTTGGTTATGTGAACCTCAACATTTATGTAAAAAATTCAAATAACCAATTTTTTGTGATTCCTGTTTTTATCTTATCAAACGGGAAGGTAAGTTTTTTATCAAATTTCGTAAAAGTACTTTTTTTTAATAAGATAAAAATAAATAAGTAAGGAAGGGAAAGTTCGGGTGTAATCGAACATTTTATACACTTGCCCGGATAAAAACCGGCTAAATACCTTTAGGTGTGTTGGCGATATTAAAAAATGTAGCGAAAGGGTTCAATAGAATAAGAAAAAGAGGGGTTGATTGCAATAATTTGTGATATTGCTCAGGTATACTTGAGGACTTATTTTCAAGCAATTTTATAAATATGTAAGTATATACGTGTGGTATGTATAGAGTCAGCCGGACGTTTCAAAATCGTGAATCTCAGTTACATGGAGGCTAAGCTAATTTTTCGCCCGATTATATTAATTTTTGGCACAAAGATATACTGTTATTAAAAAAACACAGTCTCTTAATTTGATTAAAATAACTTCCACACATATATTGGGTGTGGTATAAAGTCAACTGGAAGTTCGAAAATCTTAATATTAGGTATATAGAGGCTAAGGAAAATATTGATCCGATTCCACTCATATTTGACACAAGGGTATATAATTATCAAAGAAACATTTTCTTCGAATTTTAAAAATATATCTGACAGATTGTCCGATATTTTCAGCAAAAAGTCAGCTATACGCACTGGAGTACACATATTCGACGTCTGGGTTTTTGAAAATTTATAGTCCGATTTCGACAATTTTTGGGCGTAAGATGAAATTCCTTGAGGGCACTAGTTGTGCAAAGTTTTATCCTGATACAATGATTGGTTCTTGATTTGTATACGGGAAGGTGAAAGAATTAGATGGAATTTAAAATTGTGTTATATAATATATGGGAAATAGGCGTAGGAATGTCAGGTTAACATTATATACCGAATTTGGTTGAAATCGGTTGAATAGGTCCTGAGATATGGCTTTTCACCTAAATGCGGGCGGAACCATCCCCATCGTTCAAATTTGATACCGGCTCCTATAAAGCGTTCTCGTACCATCTCGGGTGTATAATTTTATATCTCTGAAGCATTTAGTTATTGATTTATCGCGGTTTTAATAGTTTGGAACAAAATCGTTATGTGAGGAGATGGCGGGATTATAATCCGATTTCATCTTTTTCGCACTGTCGGTAGGGGCTCTTAAACAATTTGTCTTGAGCAAATTTGGTTATTGTAGCTATAGTGATTTAAGAAATATACATGTACATTAAACCTATTGGAAAGCGGGACACGCCCATTTTTTAAAAAATTTTAGCCAACAGGTACCCCTTGCTACTGCAATTCCCTATACCAAGTTACAGTTTTATATCTTAAATTAGTACATTTAAGCATTTTTTCAATACCTTTGTATAACTTTTTGAGTATTTCGATTCGGACATTCCATTCGAAAGATATCACGAATTCCAAAATGTAAGAATTAGAAAGGAGGCGACTGGTCACCGCGCTTGGCTAGGCTGCAACATAATATGCGATGTAGGCGTCAATGTCAAGTAATAAAGTGCGGCGCGTATCGCGTAACTTATACTATAAATAAAATTAATGTTTTCTTTTATCTATTCAAATTGAAATACAAAGTTTAGTCGTGTTGTCAATTCAAAAGCAATATGTATAAGCAAAGAAAAGCTATTTAGTGTTTTATTCATTAAACGAAATAACTTAAAGACTGTAATCAATTAGATAATATAATATAATTTACATGTGCTTACTAAAAACACTTTAAAAAAATTTAAGAAAATCGGGAAAAAACGAACAAGTCCGACAAAAAATGTAAGAAAGTGTAGTGATAAGTTCCGCGTGGCCGCAGGTGTATGTATGTATATGACTCTGTATCAAGTAACAGCTGGTAAAAAGACCAACTCCGAAAAAATGATTACCTCATTGAAACTTACGTACAATATAAAAAACAGCCATTATCTTTATACTCTCGCAACATGTTGCTACAGAGTATAATAGCTTTGTTCACCAAACGGTATAACCTAAAACTAATCGAGTTAACTCGAACAAAGCTATTATACTCTGTAGCAACATGTTGCGAGAGTATAAAGATAATGGCTGTTTTTTATACGTAAGTTTCAATGAGATAATCATTTATTCGGAGTTGGTCTTTTTACCAGCTGTTACTTGATTTATACTCAGTTTGGTTTGCCATTTTAGAATGAACCTGAATTCCGTCGATAACCTGCTTTACCATAATTAAACTGTTTTATCAACATCGATACGGAAAGAAATTTCGATCGAAAATTTTTGTAAGCATTCATTCATTCGTTTTTGAAAAGTTATTTTATTTGCTTTGTGTTTTTTGTATCATGTACAGAATACATCAGTATACGCATTAGTTTCAATTGCTTGTAATTTAATATATAACAATTATCAATATTAATAATAATTTTGTATTTGGGGTTGGGAATAAATTTCATCAATTACTACAAGGTGCGTTCCAAGTAAACAGTAAAAAGAGTAACAAAGTAAACTCTAGTGGCGCCATCTATATGTCGACTAGTGCGTTAGAATCTGCTATCCTTTGTCAACTTCCAGTAAAAATTTCATGCCATTTCATCTATTGGAAGTGAAGTTATAGCGTTTTAAGTGTCAGTATGTTTTGTCATCGGTGCAAAATGAGCTTCGAACAAAGAGCCAACATTAAATTTTGTTTTAAAATTGGTAAAACTTTTACCGAAACGTTTCAATTGATGAAACAAGTTTCTGGCGATGATTGCCTATCCCGTAGCAGAGTGCACGAGTGGTTTCAACGTTTTCAAAGTGGCCGTGAGGACATAAATGAGAAATGAGCCGAAACCGAAAAAATCGCGCCTGGAGAAGTTAAAAGTAAAGACAATGCTGGTTTGTTTTTATGATTCCAAGGGTATTGTTCACAAAGAATTTGTTCCACCCGGCCAAAACGGTATTCTACCTTGGATTTTTGAAGCGTTTGGTGCGCCGTATTCGACGTGTTCGGCCCGAATATCGCGAAGATGGAAGTTGGCGTTTGTGGCACGATAATGCGCCGTCTTATCAATCGACGCTTATGGACGATTGTTTGACCAAAAATCACATTTTAACAATCAACCACTCCCCGTATTCACCTGATATGGCACCGTGCGACTTCTACCTTTTCGAAAAAATGCATTTGCCGATGAAAGGAAAGCGTTATGCAGACGTGGAGGACCTTCAAAAGGCTTGCACCGGCATACTGGCGGCCATACCGGGCAACGAGCAAAAACACTCGTTCGACATGCTTTTGGACCATGTAAAAAGCTGTATTAAAGCAGAAGGAGACTATTTTGAATAAAATTAATTGATTTTGCCGATAAAAAATTTATTTAAATTTTTAAATCTCTGTTTACTTTGGAAGGCACCTTGTATTTTATAAGTAACGGGTACTTTTAGCAGGGTTATATTTGTTGCAGTTACTGGAGAACATCCAAAATGTTGAATTCATTTTAGTCCTACCACTGATGTATGTATACCGCTGACCTCTTCGAGTGGACTTAAAGGGGGGGAAGGGTTTTTTACTTTCGAAAAATCGATTTTTTTTCTCTTATCTTATTGTTTAACATTTCAAGAATATGTCCTTAAAAATTTAGGTCGATAGAAGCAATACTCTTAAAGTTATTGTCTTAATAATCTCCTGGCCTTTAACGCTCCAACCAATAGTTCATAAACTTTAGACGCGTTTTTCTCAAAACTACTTTTTCAAAGTCCGTGTTCACTGTCATTTCAAAACTACTTGACCGATTCATTTTAAACTTTATACACATTTTCGGCATATAAAATACCGCCCCCTATTTATATATATAAAATTTTTTTTTACATTAAGAGTGTTTTCCACCCCCAAAATGGCGAAATTTTTAGTGGAAAATAACAGTTTACACTTAAAATAGCCGCCAAAAAGTTTTAAATGAAAAAAAAATTGCCAGAGAACGTTGAGGTGGAAGATTTGATCATAATTTAACTAAATTTTCTTGATTTTTTTTTTCGGATAATATTCAGCCGAGTTATGGTGAACAACGCAAATTGTTTTTTTTTTTTTGTCAAGACGTTCTGGGGGAAGCTCTGTTACCGGCTTAAGCTTCAATATTCCTGCATAAAAAAATTACCCTATATTTTCTAAAGTATGCTCAATAATGTACAAAAGGTCCGAATAAAATTACTCAATCCATATTTAAGAAAAAAATTCGCAAACAAAGTCTTTTTTTTACCTTGACACCCTATCCCCCGCTTAAAGTTACTGGGCTAAAGGACTCACCCCCGGTTTCAGAAATTTTTTATACACGACCCCAGTTGCTTAAAAAATTGGGAATTGCTTCAAAAATTGGGCCTCTCGGCTCGAATTTTTCGAGCCAACCCCGGTGGTAACTTGCCCGAAATCATTAGAACATAATGACAAATCCTTATCTTAATAATAAAGCTAAATTCTTGGCCATAATATTGAATTGCATGCTTTTGATTTATTCTTGAGGACCTAAATTATTCAGGGATATCAGGATATTTCAGATTTCCACTGAATCGATTTCCAACTTTTTTTACGATTAAAGTTTATATAGGTACAGCTGTGCCTAGGTCTGCTCACAAGGGTTAATAAGAGCTGTTGTAGATTCCAATAGTTGACGGAATTAGAATTGAAAACGTTTAATAATTTTAGTAGAAGTCATGAATTATGGTATTATTGGTTTGAAGATCGAATCATAAGTTTTATTGGTTCTTGGTATGTTGGAAAAATTATTGCAAAGTAGTAGTTGTTTAAAATTAGGAATGCTTTAACAATTAGTTTTACTTTTTGCTGGTGACAGAATATCCTACTTAAACTGAAAATAAAAATATTGGTTTTTAAATAATAATAAAAAATTTTAATATTATTTTCCAGAAGCATCAGGTCCACTTTTAGAAGAAAAAGATGTTGATAGTGAAGATGACAATGACTATGAGGTAAGATTTGAGACGAAAGTGCTGGAATCTTGCATAATTTCAAATAAATTAATGTATGATTCTGTTTCTGTTTAAATAAATGTATGAAATGCTTAAAGGTTGTAAGAAAAAAAACGCAGATGACTAACGCTTGCTCATATAAGATATATACATAGATTCTTCCATTTTGTTAGCGAAAACAAGTACCGTAGAGCTAAGTGCTACCAAATATTTAATAATCTTTCAATTTTGACGAATCAATGACAGGGAAATTTTTTCAGGCTTGCACAACTCCCCCTCCAATATAACTCGGCGGAAGTCAATATTGTCTAAGAGAAATACTAATATGCTGATTTTGTAACTCATTATCTATATAATTGTATTGGACAAATGTTGTTACAACAAGGTTTTGTTGTAACAGCTGTCTTCAATTCGCCAAGCGTTGGATAGTAACCAATCGTACAAACTATACCAGGGGCAGTACTTGCGGTGAAACCCTGGGCTAACATGTTTTCTGACGCATGCGCAACTATGTTGTGATTCTTTGATGGAAACATTTTTCTTTCCGAGTCAAAAACCATTATGGTAACGCCTTTGTTTTGTTTTCTATTAAAAATTATATATAAGTATTTAAAATCAAAAATTAATTCTTGTATTTAAATTTTTAAGTAGGTAATCTTGCCATTTGATTTCACAATAGTAAATATGGTTAATGAGGTATACGCATACTCTCTTATATGAATTAAACTCGATAACTTTGTTGTTGTTTTTACATGTAAATTTATTGGTAAGAGAGCAGCGCGCAAAGTTAGCGAGCATAGAAATAGCAAATCAAAGATAGCTATTGTCTAAATTCTTGCAAAAATTCACATCAGTGATTCTAAAGGAAAATATACCGACTGTTATCAGAAATGGTATAGCAAGTGCCAAAAATGTTTACAAACTTTAGTTTGTCGATCTTTCAAACTAAAGCTGAGGTACAAATCCTATAAGAAAAAATAGAAACTAAAGTGATTTTTTTCAGGACCATAAAAACTCTTTGGTTAAATTAAAAATTAACTGACAAACGAAAACTGGCTTGTCAAGAGTGTTGCATAAAGTCGAGGAGCTTGTAACAAAGAGCAACCTCGTCCCAATTTCACCTTGAACGCGTCGGAGCTTGGTTCGCCTCTTCCAATCTCGCACTGAGCTATGGGCATCCCGCGAGCGCCAGTTCTTGTGAGCCATGAGCGGCTGCAAGATTTTAGACACCCTTAAAAGAACTCCCCACACTGTCGCCCACTAAATTATTAACTGAAATTCAGTACAATTTAGACAAATAATTTATCGCCGAAACCATAAAGTGCAGCAGCCATTAATTAGAAAGAAAAACCAGCTAAGGCTCCTTAAGAGAGCTGGAAACTTAACATTTTTGGAAGACGGTAAATTCAGACTGCAAATTCAGCATTTTGGCTCAGGTCGAGAGATGTAGGTAGTTAGAGTGGCTGTCTTACGACAAACCTAGGCCTTTGGGAAGCGACACAAAAGATGTTTAATGGTCTTCTACCTCCTGACAGCTTCTACAATAGTCGTTATATGGCGTTACAAATCCACTGGCATGTCTTCCTGTTAGACAGTGGCCTGTTAGTATGTACTCCTATTACAGTTATTATGTCATTCAGTTTGTATTTCAACAGTCGGCATATGCGGCCCATATTCCTTGCCACGTTTGCCAGCTTGTTGAGCAAGTCAAGCATTGATTCCACCGATACTCAGCTATGTTTATAATATCTTTGTCGATTAAATATCTATCAGTTCTCGGGAATATTACTATGTCCTGGAACTAGGATGTTAGATCCGCTAAGAGATTCTTTCTTTCGAAATCTTAGATGAAATCCTAGGATACTTTAGTGATCTTAAAGCCGCCTGACTTTATTACTGCGTCCTTGTCCATTTCGCCCCTTTCGCTCTCTTCTAGGAAGGCAATATTGGCGACCGGATTTAGATTCAGCTCTGTAGGATTTCGAAAATCCGTGGCTTATGGATAAACGGGAACTTTCTAAGTATCATAGTACTCCCCTTGTTACTGGCGACTTGTAGGGAAGTTGTCCTCAGTCTAAGAGCCTACTTTGCTGCCATTTGCTTGCAAAACAAGTCTGTTGGCATGTGTAAAATTACAACTAATGCAAATACTGGCTGCTTTCTCTATGCTTTCCATTCGTCTTACCGCGTATTTCTTTTCCGCTATTGGCCACCATACCAATATACCGTAAGTCATAATCGGTCTTACAAATGCTGTGTAGAGCCAGTGAGCTACCCGAGGCATTAATCCCTATCTGGGCCCCACTATTTTTTCACACGTGTTAAGTGGTGTAGCTGCTTTCTTTACCATATCTTTCAAGTTTGGTTTCCAAGACAGTTTCCTGTCCAAAATTAGTCTCATCGTTGGCATGATACGAGCCATCGATTAATATCATTTAATATTGCTGGCATAAGGCTAGTAAGCGTATTCGGGAATTTGCCTCTAACCGAAACTGCTTCTTTTCCAGATGCAACAACATTATGTTTATTGTTAAGATTCAGAGAAGTGGAGATAACACGCCTCCTTGAGGAAACCTACGAGGGTATATTCTTTTATATCCAGAGACTTTTTAATCTCTGGTACCACTGAACTTAATGCCGTTTCAGTGGATTTTTCCTTAGTATACGCATGAGTTTAGTTTGCTCCTTATATGTATTTCTATTTACCTATTTCCAACGTTTTTATTAAAAATGAGGTAAGACTAATTGATCTGAAATCCTTTGGATTAGGGATGTGGGAGGTTTTCCCGCCTTTGTTATATATATCACAATGACTTCCCTCCATAACGAGATAATATATATTAATTGCAGTGCAGTGGGCATGATTAACCAGTTTATTATGTAGCTTTGGGACTGTAGCCGGGAATGAACCGTCTGGTCCCGGCGATATGTAGGGCTTGAATATATCTATCGCTCAATAAACATTGCTATCTGACACTATGTCTATAGGATGGGACTCTGCTTCAATGCCCAGTGTATATTCCATTGTGTGGTTTTCGGGAAATAAGTATTCATTAGCAAGCCTAATGACTCTTCATTGGAACCGTCCAGCTGTAGTCTGGCTTCTGGAGGTATCCAATGTTATGTACCGATTTTGCCATTATGTTTTTAAGTCGAGACACTTCTGCCGGATTCTCAAAATTTCCACGAATTTCTTTTTGCCTTCTTTTATATATGACCTTAAAAGCTTATAATGGCTATAGTTTGGCTAAATTAAATTGATTCCTGCAATCTTTTTGTAAGTTCTTAAGTACGGGAGACCACCGGGCCTACCACCTCTAGTGCTTGTCGACAAGAATATGTGAATTCTTTAACGATGATGTCTAGGTCCTCTTTGTTCCCTTGTTGAAATGGCGGAATCAAAAGAATGTGCTTTTTTAGCTTCTACAGTTGTATCTGCCAGTTATTTTTCCCATGATTCCTAAATTTCTCTACCCTGTCCACATTCTCTTCAATTATGAATTCAATGTAGCTGCGATCTGAAAATGAGTGTTCCGCAAGAACTCTCCAATGGGTCAATTCACCAGCTCTTCCGAGACAAGTGTTATGGTGTGCGCTGGAGTCGCATGTAGCAAGACACCAGCCAATATTTATTTGTGTTCGACTCCCAGCTTACTACTGTGGTGTTATTGTTATTATAACAGTGTAATAAGAATACATTAAGCTTTTTACTAGCTTATATACATGTCTTAGCATTACCTACGCAGCTTGCCATGTACATATAAATTATATCCCAGTGTCTCAGGTCTGCAAATACGCGCTCCATTAATCTATGGCTCCTGAATGAGGATGAATTCAGGCTGTTCTCCTGCCATGCGGTCAATTAGGGCTAGAGAAGCTTGTTTGCTACGGTGGGGATTAATATGGAGTGCTTCGTTCGTCTCCACAACATTATGCTGCGGGGTCTTCGAAGGATTTGACAAATCTTTATCCCCCAGTTGGAGGATTCGGGTTGCAGGCTCTGATAGGCTGCATACGAGTGTAGGGGATAATATGTTCGCTTGCGCATATTCCCCGCTACGCAAGTACGGCTACCTTATTATAGAGGGTGCCAGGTATCTGTAAACTCCGTTCGAGACTGGGCTATTTAGGGCTCCCAGTCAGTTGATCCTCGGCATGGGTCGCATGACACCTTGATCCAGCCCTTTATGTACCCCCAACCATAATAAGACTTCTATCTGAATGCCGTGCTATTGAGGAGGAACGAGCACCTAGGTAGGAAGTCTGATCTTAGCTAGATACTTCACTACTACACAGGGGAGAACTGCTGCGAGTCCGTTCCTGTCTACGTCGTGAAACTGTGGTATCTGTCGGCACCCTCGGGGAGGGTTCAGCAGGGGATTATCAAAACAAATTTCCATTATTACCTGAATAACCACCCAAAATCAAGAACCTGCAATGATGCAGATCTAATCACCTAAATTGAAGGCTAAAGGCTACCACACTAAATGTAAAATCCCTTTTAATTTATTCGTTCAATTTATTTTAGTAGAAAAGGGTTCCTTGACATAAAATTTATAACTTTTAAATTGTTTCATAAAACAAAATACAAGTAAGGAAGAGCTAACTTCGGGTATAACACAACATTTTATATCCTCACAATTAATATGGCTCAAAGGCGGTTTTGACAAATCAGGTATTGACAAAACTTTGTATTAAACAAGTAAGGAAGGGCTAAGTTCGAGTGTAACCTAACATTTTATACAAAGCCAGGAACATACCTTCAGGTGGCGATATTTTTAATTAATAAAAAATGTAGCGAAAGAATTTAACATTAATTGTTCGACGAAATCGCGAATGTATTCCAATCAAATATAATATTTTTTTTGATAATATTAACGCTCATTTAGTAGTTATTACCAAAACCGTTATATGGGGGTAGGCGGGGTTATTATTTTTTTTTCCATTTTCACACTTTCGGCAGGGGTGCTAAAATATTTCTCTTGATCGATTTCGGTTAT